AGGACCACGCGTGGGTGCTCATGAGTCAGCGTCAACAGTAGCAGCCAACAGCAACACTGAACCCTGTGGGTAGTTACATCATTTCATGTCAACTTGAAGCTATATAGAGGGGGGTGGGGCGGGGGGTGTAATTCAACCTGTCAATCAGGTCATAGTCTGTTGGTGCCTCCTTCTGGGTGTGGCTGTCTCATAAGGAGGGCCCAGGGGACCTCTCCCTCTCTCTCTGCCTTCCACTTCCTACTGGTGGACCATGATTGCTGGTAGAGCCCTGAGATGTTACCACCACCATTGGATCTACATGACTTTGCACCCACCAACCCGTGATCTTCCCGCCTTCTACAGCACTGCGTGAGTCTATAGAAGGACTTACGGACTTGAGTTGGACTGGGCTGCGATGTTTCCTTGATATATAATTGCTCCTTGATGTAAAGTCACTCAAACGGTGAGAGAATAATTTTTATTTGTTCAAAATTTACCACTTGTAGTATTTCTGTTACAAAAACACTAGATAACTGAGACATTTAATGATAAAATACTTTAACTATGAATCTAGATATGTCTTTCTTGAGATGTTTATCATTTTCTCATTTCAAAAGTAAAAACTTGTTTTTCAGTGAGAAGAGTAAATGAACTGGACAGATGTGGGACCCGTGAGATAAAACACAGTCTCAGAATAACATTCCCCAGATTATTTATTGGTAAGAGGAAAAAAAAACTGCTCAATCGAGAAATCTAGTGAATGCTACCTAATCAAGTGATCAAATTTCATGTCCCCAGCCATGGGGTAGGTACCCGTGGAGTAGCTCCTGGTGACTGAGAAGCATGAAGCATTACTTTACCGTAGCCTGCCTAAAATGTTTAGCTGAAATCTAATCGTGAAAAAACAATCTACTTGAGAGACATTTAGCAAAACAACTGCTCTGGAACATCAGCATCATGTAAACAAAAACCAGGGAAATTCTATGATTTAAAAAAGTACTAAGAGAGAAGAGAACTAAATCAATGCAAATCCTTGCTTGGATCCTAGAACTACAAAAATAGGTATAAAAGACCTTATTGGGACAAGTGGGGAAATATAAATACAGGCTTTATATTAGATAAGAATTTTGAATCAGTATTGAATTTCCTTACAGGGACCCTAGTGGCTTGGTGGGTTACATCTTGGTGTGCTAACCATAAGGTTAGCAGTTCAAAACCAACAACAGCCCCATGGGAGAAAGATGAGGCTTTCTACTCCCATGAAGATTTACAGCCCCAGAAACCCACAGGGGCAGTTCTACTCTGTCCTACAGGATCACTATGAGTCAGAATCAGCTCAATAGCAGTGAGTTTTATTGAATTTCTTGAGTGTGCTTATATAGAAGAATGTCTTCATTTATAAAACAAAGTACTTTAAGGCTAAGTACTTGCTGAAGTACTTTAAGGCTAAGTATCATCATTTATTTGATTAATCTTCAGTTGGCCCAGCAAAACATAAAAGTATGCCCCTTGCTACTGAGTAAATCCTGACTTGTGGCAATCCCATGGGTTACAGAGTAGAACTAGTCCAAAGGATTTTTCTTGACTGTAATATTAATGGAAGCAAACCTCTTGCTTTTGTTCTGTGGGGCCAATGGGTTTGGTTGGAACTGCCAACTTTTAGGTTAGTAGTGGGTGTGATGTGTTTGTGACACTCAGGGCCCTCATGAATGGATCCACCTACTTATACGTACAGAGAGTTACAAAGAAATGTGTCTACATGGTAGCAATTGTTGTTCATTTTCCTATTCTCAAAACTCGAACTAAAAAAGCCAAACTCACTGCAAACGAGTCAGTTCTGACTCACGGTGACCCTATAGGGCAGGGTGGAACTGCCCAAGTGGGCTTCTGAGATGGTCTTCTGAGATGGTCACTCCCTTAAGGAGTGACTCATCTGACTCCCACAGGGCACGGGTGGCTTCAGCTACTGACCTTACAGTTAGCAGCCCAGAACGTAACCACCATGGAACCAGGGCTCCGACGCGCAAAACTACAACATTCTATGGACATATTTGAAAGGTTTCCAAATGAAAAGTTGGGGGTAAAAAGAAATACAGCATAGAACCTTACCAACAATTCATAGACTAATGTTAAAGAAATGCAGATTTCCTAGGTGGGGATAACCACATTAATGTGTTAGTACATATCATTTCAGGATAAATGGATATAGATAGAAATTATATAGAAGACAGATTTAGTCTATAGATTTGGACTCATGTTGAACATATTGTTTTATAACCTGTTTCATTGTTTGTTTTTACTTAATATTACAGCATGGATGATTTCTATAGTCTTCAAAAAAAGTAAAATTTTTTAAAAGTAGTCTTCTACATTATTTTCCAGGGTCTAATAATATTCTATTTGGTGAATATTTCATTGTTTATATAAGTAATCCCTTACTGTTGGACATTTAAGAAATTTTAATATTTTGCTATTTGAAAAATAACAATAATGACCATCCTTAGAGCTAAATCTTTGTGTTTGTCAATTTCCTAGAATAGAAATGGTTGAATCCAAGCCAAGCCTATTTTGGGCTATGGCAGACTCATTTCCTGGCGTACACAACAGTCGCTCTCCTTTCCTCCTTGCTAATGAACCCTCAATGTTGTTTGAAGAAACAGCATGCCTCGTTCGAAAGGTTGAAATGTGGCATGTCTAAGCTAACCGTGGCTATCCAATTTCCCTTTGTCAGATACCTGCTTTCTCTGACTCTCAACATGAGGCAGGGGCAGGCAGAGGTACAGGGTCCAGTTCTGACAACAAGGCATGAAGAACACACTGCTCGGAGCACCCTCAGAGACACCCCTTTCCTTTCTGGCATTTTATCTAAGGGTGAAGACACAATGCTCAGAGCTTCCAGTGACCGGAAGCCAACACACTGAGAGGGAGAAGGGGGGCTATGGTCCTGGCCAACACCACTGCGTCTTGATGCCATCGCTAAGTTGCTGTGCCCAACCTGGGATCGCCTGTTCCAGGTTTATCAAGCATGTCTACTGCCCAAACACAGCTAGTAAGGCTCTTCTGTCGTGTGCATAGAAAAAAACACACAACAGAATTGTCATATGACCTAATAGTTCTACCCTTAAATATACTCATACACCCCCAAAGAATTGAAGACAGGTACTCAGATACTTGTACACCAGCCTGGGTAGCAGCATTGTTCAGAATAGGTAAAAGTTGAAACCAGCCAAGTGTTCATCCGCAGCTGGGTGCAGCATATCCGTTCAATGGAACGTCATTCCCCCACAGAGAGAAGTGAGGTCCTGATACATGCACCACGGAGCACGGATGAGCCTTGCAAACACTGTGCGGAGTGAAATCAGCCAGACACAAAGGATAAATGTGGCATGAATCCTCTTATATGGGGTCTCTGTAAGAGGCAAATTCATAGAAATAGGAAATGGGTCTGGGGGGTTCCCATGGGCCTGAGGAAAGGGCTAGTGAGGAGTTGGGGAGCACAGAGCATCCTTTGGAGTGGTGAGGAAGGCTGGGAATGGGGTGACTGTAATGAATGGCAGCGCTGGCTACGTTTAGAGAAGGCCAAAATCTCCAGTTCTATGTGAGTGTGTATGCGTTTTCCCACACTACCGTTTTAAAACATAGTAAGAAGGAACATAGCAAATGCCTCCCCAAAATAAAACAAAATGAAGAAAGGCCCGGCAGACCGTAACTGATAGGCTGTCTGATGATCGTCCCAAAAAATCATATTGTAAAAAGCATGAGTAATTCCCCACTCTTTCTACTTGGAGACTATAGCTACGGCTGCCGGGTCTGAATCCTACAGACTCTCTAGGGCAGAGGAGAATTCGTTATATAATTCAAAGATGTTTTTGGTTTTGTTGTTGTGTTTGGGCCAGCGTTTGAAGGCTACCTCATCAGCACAAAATCGCCATACACATTGCAACACTAAATCAGATCTTGGTTCAACTTAGAATGAATACCAAGAAAAGAGTGCCCCCTAGGGGGATCTATTCTAATGACATTCAACAAGCTAGGATTTCAGCATTATGTAACTGATAAGAATAACTTCTGTTCTCCAAATGCATGCAATAGATATTTAGTTAACATCCTTACATGGGGATAGAAACTATGGAGAACACAAATACAATACGGTATGTCACCGCCCCAGAAAGCCA